AAATGTGACTGGCAAACAGCTGTTCCATGAATCACATTAACAGTCAATAAATTTTTATTTTCTGTTCAGGACTTTGGATAGTTTACTCTATCTGGAATCTAATAATGATTTCTGGGGTGTATGCTTATCTTGGGTTTTGTCCATCTGTGGTTGTGTGTCCACCCTGTATGCGGGCTCATCAAATAGAAATTAGCATAACATAAACACTCGCAAAACTTACCAAAATAGTGGTCACTCCACTTGGACCGACACAGCACAGGGCAGATAAACAGGCCAAGTTCGTCTTCCAGAGATTTTGGACATACACTGCCTGCCAGATTTCTGCAGGCAGCAGAATTTGACCTGTAAACTAACAGTAAATTAGTACATCATAGGAAAATGCAGAAATGTAAATAAGTAGAGAATTTGGTCTCAAATAATAAAAACATACCTAATAGTAAATTACCTATAATTAAGTTCTAAGGACTGAGCCGACGGTCCTTTCTGAAATCAGGACTGGCTGTGCGAGGCTACAGGATCTGTCATTACTGCTGGGGGTGCGGTGCCGCACAGCCTGGAGGCCTCAGTTAAGCCTGGTGCAGCGTTTGATTGAGCCGTATCTAGACAGCTTGCCTGCAGAGTTAGGCAGGTGGAAGAGATGAGAGAAAGGCTGAAGAGAAGCGTGAGCCTCATTTTCCACATGGGGGGCTGAGGCACAGGAAAATAGTCGTTTCCCAGTGGCTCCACAGAGCTCCTCCATCAAGCAGAGAATGGAGCCAGGTCCCAGTGCTTTAACCACGAGGATTAGCCATCCACACATCGACTTGCAGTTCACACGTATGTGACTTGTGAGAGATTTATTTTCTACATCAGGCACTTAGTTCACAGGCATGTTCTTAACTAGAAGAATCTTGTTCTGTGTGTTGCCTCAGCTGACTTAATGCTGCTGCTGCTGCTTATTAAAATTGTGGTAGGTGGGCTCTGTGGGCTGGGTGCAGGGGTCAGAACCTTGCACTGAAGCTCACAGACACTTTTCTAAAGACCCAACCCAAATCAGAACACAGTCAAAGGAGAAGACTTAGGAGGTTGCCCAGCCCCCAGGCAGACAGCAGGGCCATGGGGCAGACAGGAGGGACTGGTTGCTGTGAGGAGAAGTGCAGGCACAGGGACAGATGCGGGAAGGAGAAGGGCAAGGCAAGGGTGAACACAGCAGGGGTGAAGTAAGGAAAGATCTGGACTGCAGTAAAATGAATATGTGCACGTGAGCCTTGACTGACCAGTTGCAAAAGCAGGTTATAGTGGGGCATGATAGGAAATTTTCGTGTCCTTTGGGGTAGGCAATAGATCTTGTGTTTCAGGCTCCCTGGCGCTCCAGCTGGTGCTGCCACAGCACCTGGTAGCAGGCAAACCTGTTCCTTTCCACAGGGATGCACAGCTCAGGGAGGCCTGTAACAACAGTGGAAGTTTTGCGTTATAAAAGGAGAAGGACAGAGAAATTCTTCCCCACCTCTAGCAGCTTTCAGGTAGCCTGGCAAGCACCAGCCAGCTCAGCCAGGTGAGGAGACAGCAGCATGGTGGGCTTTGGTGGGCTGAGGACAATGTGGTGCACAGCTCCTTCCATAGGTCCTGTGAGCCTGACCTGACCCAGACATGCTTCTGCAGACCTCGCTTCTGCAGTATGTGGGGATCCAATAAATGTAGGATCCAGATTTCTTCTGGATCTTAAGAGCAGCTGGGAGACACATGGAACATTTTTCCTAAATGCCATTAAAAGGAAAAACACGCAAAACAAGAGGACTGCATCACTTTTAGTGCACACTTCTAGGATCCTTGCCCACTCATTGTTTTGACATCCTATTCAGATAATGACTGTAAAGTCCCAAGAGAGTCATACTCTGATACTTGCACTTCACTTGCAAATGAGTAGCTTTCCGCAGAAATGAATGGGAGCTTCAGCTACTATGACACAAATGCCCATGGAGATTAGTTTGTGTATCTCCTGGGTAAAGCTTTGATGGTAAACCCTATTGTCTTTTCATTAACACTGTGCTGTACTGTACAATCCCAGGCCACAAACTATGCTTCCTTCCTTATATGTACTGTGGTACTAAATCATGTCCATACCACTTGTCATGCTTTCAGGCTATGATGCAATCTCTGAAGCACAGTGTGTATCTGAAGACATGGTCTCCAATGGAACTGATGAAAATGGATTCTTCCAAAACGGCGCCTTTGATCACTGCTTGAACCACATTCCTTCCATCTATACAGATACCCAAGAGCAGTGCTGACCTTCTTTCCTTTATTATACCTATAACTGTGTATGTAATAACAAAGGTGTTGTTCAAGTACTTTTATTTAGTCTGTATCCCTTTATGTGTGCTCATTTAAATAAACACCTCACATTTACCAAACCATTTTATACATTAATAGTCTGTGTAAGATAATATTGGAACCTGTTCCTTTGCTGTGGCACTTTGAAATTCATGCTTTAAGGGAATGAGGAGCATTTCAAGCAGCTTGTTTTGTAAGTTCTCTCAGTAAAGTGTAAATGTAAGTTATATAATAAACTTGTAAAGAAGCGTTTTTTTTTTCCCTGAAAAGTATGTTTCAATTTGAGAATGTTGTTCCCTTTAATCGGTTTTCATTTAACTCATTGGTCAATTCTCTTTTTTTTTTTTTTAACTAAAAGGATTTTTTTTAATCACAGACCTCATGTATATAAAGATCTTCATTTGCTCGGCTGGTTTTATATTTTCAGTTTTACAAGAAAGCATTAAAAACTGGAAACAAGTGTACTGTCATTTCTTAATATCATCGGTCTGCCTGATAAATCCTAATTTTACATTCTTACAAGGCCTGAGAGTGATTTAAACAAAGCAGTGACATTTCAGTAACTGTGAAATTAAAGCAGCCCGAGTGTACATGAAGAAAACCAAGGGGCCTGCAGACTTTCAGCGAAAGGACCAGAAGCCTTCCAGCACGGGCGGCACCGTGGGCTGGCTTCCCAGCACTGCGTGCCCACCGGCCCTGCACCGTCTCCCTGCCTTTCTGCTGCCCCTGCCATGGTGGGTGCATCAGCACATGCGGCCGTCCCAGCAGCGTAGGGGAAAATTAAATGCAGCTGTGGTTGGCTTTGTGCCTCCACAAGTAAATGTACGGCCTCAGCCCGTGTGAGGTGGCACTCTGGGACATGGTTTAGTCTACTCTACCCTTAATTGGTTTAGTGTGGACTTGGTAATGTTAGGTTAATGGTTGGACTGGATGATCGTAAAGGTCTTTTCCAACCTAAACGATTCTATGATTCTATGATCAGTGGCACGTTCACACTGCACAAGCGCTGCGCGTGGGGCAGGTCACCTGATTTCTCCACTCACAAGACCCAGCAGCCACTCTGAACTCTCCGCTTCAGGCGCACGCTGTAGAGAAGAGCAGGACACCTTCGGAGGGCTTTCCTCCATCCAAAGCACTTGTAATCAGTGGCTTCCAGAGGAACAGAGCTCACCTGCAGTCGCTTGATTCCCTGTCACTGTGGCTCTGGCTCCGCAGGGCTGCATTCTCCAGCCTAGTCGTGATTCCTGGGAGAAACAGGCATCCTGCAAGGGGACAGGCACTCCCAACATCTGCCAATGCAGGCGGGTTAGACATGAGCTCCTGAAACCGTCCCATGGTAGTCTGGGAGAACAATGAGGAAAAACTAATTTAAAAAAAAAAAAAAAATTGTTCTCATTTGCAAACCATTGCTAGCTGGGCATAGTAAGGCACCCTAGGAGCAATGTATGGTTATCAGAAAGGCTTTATTCTGTCTAATACACAAACCCCAACCTCAGGAAATGCTGCTGCATGCAGAACCGCAGGTGTGGGTGCAGCCTCACAAAGGAAGAAGAGAGGCTGGTGGTTTGGGTTAAATGAAGATGTGCCACATCGCTGGGAAGATACTTAGAGTTAGCATCAACTTTGCTCTTGCACTATAAATGGAAACAAATGGCAATAAATGTCCTAGCTGCCCTTGGCAGTGTTCATCTGTGACTGACTGTGCCTCCTGTGCCCGATGCCAGAGGGCTTCAGCTTGGCCACAGGGCAGAGCTCCAGTGTGAAGGCTGAAGGGCATTTTTACAGCAGGCCCCAGAGTAAAGTCTGCAAAAGGACACTGTGCCCACACCAGTGAGAAGCTGCTCCCACAGGCCAGTTCCCACACCACCACGTCTGCAGCAGCAGAGGTGCCACAGCAGGCACATGGCAGCCCGAGGAGGCTGTCCTGTGCCCATCTGAGCCAGGTGTGCACACCTGAAATGCTGCTGATGCCTGAGAAGTTTTTCACGACCAGACAAATCTTCACAAGTTCACTAAAGGACGCTGAGATTGCGCATCAATTGATGTCTGGCAAATACCCCTTCATTTACAGCTCAGTTACACAAGCTACCATGGGGCACCACTGGAAAGCTCACACTGGGTTGAAACCAGTCAGTGACTGAAGATGGCACTTCCTTTTTTTCCTCTCTCCTCCCCATTACCAGGATCTGTTTGGCAGCGGCGTGCCCACGCAGTGCTGTCGAGGGCCTTCCCTCATGCCAGGTATGCCAGTGCCAAGCCCCATCCCGTCAGTTTTCAGGCCTGTAATCCAATTAGCTGCTCCCCAGAGAACAGCCTAAAACAAGAAGCAGCTGCTGGAAGATTTCTTGCCCTCCCCCCCCCAAAGGACTGACAGAAAAATGTCAAGCACCTGGCTTCAGCAAAATAGCAAGTTCCACAGGAAAAAAAAAAGCTAAATTCAGTGGCATGTTAAGAAAATACCACATTTTGCAGCTGCATAATCAGAATCCACAGAGCAGGCCCCAAGCTGAATGGGGCGATTCTTTGGCAGCATTTGCAGAAGTGGCATTACTGGGTCCACAGGACTGTGGTTCCCCTTACGGTCACAAAGTTATACAACCACAATGAATATATATATTTTAAAGCACAATTTGGTGGCAACGTGTGAACCCAGCAGTCAAAGTGCTGGGGAAAACACAGTAGCAGCATGAACTCAGAGGTCTCCAGTGCCCCAGCCACTCAGTGTACAACTGTGTCCTTTACTGCCCTACCAGGGGATGCTGGCTGTAACTCTTGGCAGTTTCCAGCTTTGGCAAACATCTTGTACAGAATCAGAAGGGTACGGTGAGGGTGCCCCACGCTTGCAGACAGCTCTTGAATGGCAGCTCTCCTGGGGGACCAAGACCCTGCCCTCTGCAAGGGTGTTATCCCCAGAGGCCAGTCAACAGCCTGTGGGGGGGGCCAGTCACCAGCCTGGGGCGGACGGCTCCCTGCCTCTGTCAGGCGCTTCACACAGAGGTGGAGCAGGAGGGAAAGCCAGACAGGACAGCAGGGGAAACTGCTGCAAAGGAAAGTGCTGGGGTGGCAGCTGAGAAAAGGAACAACAAAATGACACTGATGACCAGCAGTCAGTCACAGTGAAAGGCTTGTACCAACGCACCCAGAAATGCGGGACACAGCTCAGGTCCAACACAGCACCCGGTGCCCGGTCCCAGGAGCCTGCAGCCCAGGGCTCTGCTCCGGCGTGAGCATCGAGCACCCCGGTGCCGCTGCGCCTGTCCTCAGCCACGGCAGCCTCTGCACACGTGGGAAAGCCCCAGATGCCGTGCCGTTACCACAGCACATTTAGCACCGCTCCTACGCTAATCTGGGCTAACCACAAAGCCCTGTTTTCCTCTGTTTCTCCAGGGCCTGGTTGCACCTTGTTAGTGTGCACGAAGGTGCCTCTGTATCCAATTTAGCTTTCTGTCCTCAAGAAATTTGAATGAAACTTAGACATTCAGGAAGTTTTACAGTTAGCCACTACAAAACAAGGTGCATGGGGTTATATGACCCTCTCTTTTATAAATGGTTCCTCAAGATCTCTAGCTCTCAAGGACACCCAGTCCCAGCTGCAAACCCATTAATTGTGGCTGCCCTGCATGGCCCAAGCAGTCTGAGTTCCAAGTGGCAGCACTGACTCATCATCCCTCTCCTAGAATTAAAATGCATAAAGGCTCCAAACTGTGCTTTTAAGACTACGCACGTGGCTTTGGTTCTGATTACTGCCACATTTAGCTTTCTGTTCTCTTGCTTATCTACTCTGATGAATCAGAGTTTTGGGGTTTTTTGGTCTTACGCATAAGTTGCCAGAACTCTTTTCTAGAACAGTAAACAAGGAGGCAGGTAGCTTAACAACTGCCAAGCAGTAAAAACTCCAGAGCTTTTGAAGGAGGACTTCGAAAAAGCATATCTGAAGCCCAACAAAGCTGTAATGGCCGAGACAAAAATCAAAATAATTCCTGTGCTTCAATTAGTTGGAGACATTAAAAGGAAATCGTGCCTTAAAAACATGATTAATCTCATTTCCTAAAAATTAAAGAAATCCTTCTAAAAGTTACATTTTTTTAGTTAAAAATACAAACCAACCAAACCTAAACACATTTGATCAATTACAAAAATATTTATGTCACAACAACCAGGCTGTTCAAAACCACACAATGATTCACAAAGGTCTGGGAAACTTAAAGCGTAGCAGCTGGAGTGATGATTTAATTCCAGAATCTGTGTGAATCAGGTTTTCTGTAAATTAAAAGGACAGAATCAGAGAAATGCAAAGGCAGTTGTTTGAGTCTGTATGGTTTGGAAAGTTATCCATAATAAAACCATTAAAATACACAATAGCACAAGTTAATGGTTACTTGTGTGCTTGTGTATTTCATTATTTCCTTTTATTACATGTAAGTAGGGAAGTATCTCATGTAAGCTTTTCCTAAAGACACAAAGAAACCTTTCAATGGAATTTATTGCTTGGCAAGTTTCTCGTTGTGGTGCTGTAAAAACCCCACCAACTAATACGTATAATAACTGGAGTAAGGCTTTATAATAGTAGAAAATTATTACCCTGTGGAATTAAAATGGAACTGCTGGTTCCAGTTGACTGTCAGATACTTTTTCAATCTAGGCAACAGAATTCAAATAATAAATTACAACACTACTTTATAAATAGCTACAAATCATTTCCCCAGTGAATGAAAACCCCATTTACCCCTGTGTATATACTCTGTGAGTACGCAGGACGCTTTAGGAATGACTGAATTAAGATGACCTTCAGTGGCTGATCAAGCTGGGAGAGAGAAAATTAATTTCAAGTTGACGCTGAAGCAGCTAAAGCACTTCTTTGCGCTTTCCACCAGCTGGGATACA